AATATTTTCGAAGCCTGTATCTTAGGTCTGGAATATTAAGGCCCTAAGTATTACTATGAACCTGGAATATATGCAAGTCTGATTTAACGGTTAGGAATAAATAGATATCCAGGGCACAGCTGTTTCGTTCTCATTCCCGATTTAACATCAGGAAAATTCAATATCATCATCGTATATATGCCGCAATTTATGATTTTCACCATTTGACTAATGTAGGTAATATAAATTGCGTCCGTGTTTTAGTGTTTTGAATGCATATCTTTATTATGACGAAACACTACAAAAGAAAAAAACACTGTTACCAAGAGAAACAACTGATGCTTGTTTTTTAAAATATTTAATATCTGAGTCTTGTGGTTTCAAATTATAGTCAAAACACAAATTGAGACGACTGTAGTATTTGGAATTATCTTATGAATAAAAAAAAAATTAAGGAATTACAATAATAATCTGAAAAAATTATGTTCATCTCTCACCTTGGTTCATCGTAACCAATGTCATTGTATAATTGTCCTATCGAACTATTTTTTATCTTCCTTATTTACTTATTTATTTTCCAATATCTTCCGACAAAAGCAAGTATGAAACGAAGGAGTTGACCAGGGCTTTAGAGAATCAGTGAAGGTTTAAACCATTTTAAAAACAAAAACTGTCATCAAGGGATGTGCTTATCCAAATAAAATAATATGACTAAGGGCTTGTGAATTCTCTCACAAAAGAGCAACATGGCGGCCCGCAGTTTTAGTGAACTATAGAGTTTATTGTACAAGCATACACTCTTGTTTATTCAAGAATTAACTCACTGAAAACTAGAAACGTCGTTTCTAATTTGTATATTTTATGGTTTATTTTATTGAACACAAAATGAATCAAATCACCATATAGGGTTTACTATATTACTATTATTAAAGACGTCGCCGAAATCGCATGTTTGTGTGTCTCTGAATGTAAAAATTGACATTTAAGTTTAGCACAGGCTTAGGCCTCTGGTTTTTAACAACATGTCATGCAAATTTAGTTGTTCATGGAGGATTGTTATTATGAGAAACTCCTGAATGTTGTAATTAATCAAACAAATACTGACCTAATACGACATTTGTTTTGGATAACCACTTCTGTCATGAGATTAATCAACATTTTGCATTCACAAAATCTTCGAAAAAAAATGCGAATACTTTAAGCTCAAATAAATGTCAATGCTTGGTTACGCACATTACGATGGACATTTTTAAATACGTAAACCTCTGGAGCTAAGTTTTTTTTCATAGAAGTATGTTTTCCGTGATGATAATTACTTGAAATGACCAATGCTATATTTTGTGCTTAATTCATTTTCATGAGAACATTGAAGTAGAGATTATGGGGAGGGATAACCAGGGCTTCAGATACAAGGAGATTACTGGACTAATCCCAGCCAGCGTAATCACGAATAAGATTACTACTACGTCAAGATGAATATTCTGTAAAGTAGATTAGAGTGGGTTATATTAATCTGTTAAGCATGTAAACATTCTAAACTCTGTATTCCTGTGCTTTATTTTGTTACAAAAAGTCATTTCAAGCATTAAATTGATCAAATACAGTTTTCAAACACAAATATTAAAGAATGATTTGTATGGTGTGCAACTTTTATATTATACGCGTTCAAACTATTATACAGTCGTCTGAATTGTGGACTAAAAAGACGCGAGACGTTTGGACGGTCACTTGAAAGACAGCATAGTCTGCATCACTGAAATGATCGCACATTATTTACAGAAGAATAACGATACCTGATAGTAGAAGCTGATAGCAGTGTAGAACTTTGTTTCAGCAGCAACAAATTATTATTGTACATTGTTTCATGAGTTTTCTCGCGTCGAAAATATATACATTGTGAGTTCAAAATATTACCCGACCTACTTTCGTGTTATGCTATACCTGAATATACGTTTATTAATTTCGCATGGATGAAACTATCAGTTCACACGAATTTGACAAACGTAATTAATGTAATAAACCGTGCATCTAATTGACAATGAGAAAATTAAGAAACTAAACGAGTACACTTGGGTCATTGGCAACCAGGTGAACTGAGTTGCAGGTGTCGGTGTCGTCTTTTAAAACAATCACATTTGATTTGGTCATATAAAATGCATCACAGAACATATTGACCAGTGTACCGCTTAAAATTTTGGAAACAACGAAGTACATTACCATTTATAGGCTTATAAACAAGAGCAATTAAAACGTACATAGGTATCTGAAATTAAAGACAGTTAATAAAAGCACCAATCAAAATGTTAAGCAAAAGACAAATTTAAAAATACAATAAATAAATAAATATCAATAATAATTATTTGACTGAAGAAATAGAAAAAATGTATAGGCCTAGATAAGGACCTACTTATAGAGGTGTTCCGCCAGAATTACTAACATTCAACCTTCTTCATAAAATGTTATTATATAAAGCTTAGGCCTATGATATTAACAAATGACTAAAAATACACTTTCTTGCAGTTGTAAACAGTACAGGTATAATCGGAAAGTTAAAAGAAAGAAAAAGAAAAAAAATGATCGCCCAAAACGCCTCAGAGGTTATTTTCGGTGTCTAGAAAACAAAAATGTCGCGGGGGCATGCCCCCGGACCCCCTCAGGTGGCGTTATCTCGATCGGCCCCAATTGCAGTCCCCTTTCTCCCCTCCCCCTCTTTCGGAATTCTCTGGATCCCCCTGGTTAGCAAGTCCTTAGCTCATTATATAATGTGTTGATGTTTACCTCATTTTGAAACTTACGCGTTTAATATGCTCGACTGTCAATCACAACCTGAAAACATCATATAATTTTGTTATTATATCTTATTTGTCAATTATCTATAGGTATAGAAAGGATGCTTAAAGCAAAGAGGTATGTTAAAAAATAGGCGAATTGTCATGATGTACGACCACAAGGGGGCGCTAAGTCATTCGTTCAAGATACTCTATTGAAATTGACCGATTTCAAATATTTAATCCCCGAAATATGTTGATCGCGCATTTTTAGCTTAATACCACTGATCGGAATGAAAACAGAAACAGCAAAAAATATTTTCTTTTGCAAAATGAGCTGTTAAAAATAGACCGACAATTATTTCCATTTAGTAATTGCGCTATTGAAATTGAAAATAAATAGCAACAAAATTTTTTTTTCACTAATCAAGCAAAAATAAAGCAACAATTATCTCCATTTACCAATTGCGCTATTGAAAAGAAACAGCAACAATATTTTCATTCACCAATTTGAGCTATTTTACTAACCTGCATCTAATACTAACCGGCGCACGCCCTTTGAGGCAGGCGCAGTACCTTTACTAACAGGGATTTTTCTCACGACCATTTTTCTCTCAACTCCATTCCCTAAGCCTTATATGAAACTTAGTTTATGTAGAGCATCTGCCTGCTTGTATGAAAGGATTACCATTTAATAAAGTGATTAAGTTCGTTATTAGCACATCCCTGGTCCTGAGCCCAAGAATTAAAAAAAAAAGGAAAAGGAAAAACAAAAAGACAGCATTCGTATTTAATATTTAATACCGTAATTAGCTTACACCCCTGCTTTTACAGCTAGGTGTACAGTAACTACTAACTGCTAGAGTAACTACTAACTACCTACTAGAGTAGGAATAGTTTCCATTATTTTAACTTGAATAATGAAAATTAAATATTTTGAATGATCTAATTTCAACTTGTTTCAGTATGTTACAGGCTCCAAATAGGCCTAAGTTATTTAAATTTATTACCTTTACAGCTTCCGTAAGTAGGCCTAAGTTATTTGATTTTAATTTTAATTAGAACGAGAAAATTATTTCTTCATCAATTAACGGACGCGTGATCTTTTATATTCCTTGTAAATACGCCTACCCTTTTGGCAAAAATGATTGTTGTAGTTTAAACAACGTTTGTAGGCCTCAGCGAGAACTGAATTCTTTCGACCTGCTTTTTATTGGACGTTATCCTTTTAAATTAGCAGTTAACGATGGGAAGCATGGTTAGCTAAGAATCAATCAACTACCTTTTTTGGTTTACTGAGTTTGGTATCAACAGCTAAAAATCCCACCCGAAAGACGGGGTACGGTAATTAGTGCCTTATCTAGTGACAAAAGCAACAACGGGATAGGCTGGTTTTGAACTCGGTGCCTTCTCGTGCACCAAAGTCTAATCCTTTACCGCTGATTTGAAATCATAATTTGCTTTTATGTAAACTTCATCTTAGAGAAGCATGTCTCTAAAGTGCGTATGTAATTACTAAAAATTAATTCGATGGTTGAATATAATGAATTTGTTATCTGAAGCAAACGTAAAATGATCAATTTAGGACCGGAGAGATTACTTGTTTTCTTCTGGTGGAAATGAATGTTGTCGATACGTATGAATTCATTAACTGAAAACTGAAACTAATCGACAACATTCATTTCCACCAGAAGAAACGGTACTGTCTGCAGATTGGAATATTTACGCTCCTTTACATTGTGCTGCTAAGGTAGTACATTGTTTTGTAGATATACATATGTTATGTTTAGTAGAGCACTCTTATTTTAAGATGGTGCATTGTTTATGTAATACTATTTTGCAATTTGCATAGTACACTCATTTTGGGTTTGTGCACTCTTGTATTCATAATCAATGTTCCATGTCACACGTGGGCTGATCCTTTGAGTCTGTCGTGTGTTTCATTCTTGAAATCCTGAGCTGCACTGATGAAATCTAACAAGATCGAAAAGGTACTGTCTGCAGATTGGAATATATATATATATATATATATCATGATTTATATATACATCTACATAATTATACTGGGCTGTACCTGCAAAAATATCTACTAGGCTTATAATAGGATTACTGTTAATGCAAGAATGATGATATCGTCAGTCAACATTATCATTATCTTCGCCATATCATCAACAACAGTAACATCATCATCAATAACTGTCACATTCTTGTATTTAATAAGAATGCCTTGAATTAAAAACAAAAAGCAAGGAGTGTGTTGAGACTCATTTCTGATTTTTATTTCATCACTGTCTACAGTTTATAATCATTTAATGTTAGCTGTCATTACACGGACGTACGAAGCATTTCAAATACACAGCTGAATAAATATAATTCTGTTATCAAAATTATGTTTATTTCAATACGAAGGCCAATAATAAAATTGAACATCAGCCATTACGTCATCACTGTTGGACGCACAATTCTTGTGGGAATTGTAGTAGACAACTGTGTGCTTCATTCATTGCACTGAAAAATTCATAACGCTGTTAATAAAAGTTGTATTTGTTGGCATAACTCATTCCTCATCATTGATATGAAATCCTAATATTTTTAAAACACTTCATTAACAATAGAAATAATACTTTAAAAGTATTATTTGTGTAATGAACTTGTAACTAAACACATTGCATTAAGCACCTTAACCAATTATTCAATACAAATAATAATTTAATAATAACAATATGACAACAAATAAAACAAAGTATAATAAAAAAGCTAAATAATAATAATAATAATATAAAATAAAACATATGCCATGTCAATTTATAAAGAAAAAATGTATTTCATATTTGAAATTTACCATCACTCTAGTTCACAAATTTCAATAAGCAGTTCATAAATCCAAACTTCCAAGTAAACCTTTCCTTAATCTTCCAATTTTATGACCACATTTTTTCCCACAATACATTTAATTTAAAATGTCCCTGTGAACTTTCCGCACAAAAAAAGGCACAAAATATAAAAACCGGTGGAGCAGGTAATCTATATGTATTCCTAAGATTATCTAACTTGTACACATTACATTCTATGGTAACAATACATTATCTATGTTACCCACTTCCTCACATACTCGTGACTAATGTACCATTCTCCCATGTTAGAGTACCAACACATGCCTTCTTCTATATAACCTAATGGCTTAAACTTTTAAATTGTCCTGTCACATCTGGGATCTATCTCAAACTATTTTTTTAATCCTAGTGTAAATTTGTACATTGTGTCCTTAGAAAGTTTTTTTAGTGTCCTTATAAAGGCCCAAATCAAAATCTTTCCTATTGGACCAAATGATTGATTAATGCAAAATCATTATTACACTTGTATCACATAAAGGTATATATATAATATATATATATATATATATACATTATATAGATATATATGTGTATATACATCTATGTATAGGTGTTTTTATTTTTATGTACTGTACCTATTTATTGTATATTCCACAATTCTCTCATTCTGATACCAGTGACTATGCACTATAATTGCAAAAATACTGTACCTTTTACTGCTTTGTCAGACATCAATTAATATTGCTTCTACACCACAAACAACGAAATAGCTTGAATATATTAAGTTAATTAGCCTAAATCTATATAAAACTAGTTAAAGCACTGTATATAGAATACAACCTTATCGACATGTACCTCCAATTGGGTACAAATTATTGTCCAGGCAAAATATATTGTTTGAAATCATATATGATGAAACATATATGATGAAATTAAGATGTTTGCTGGTTAAGAATCGTAGCTTGTTCTCTGATCTTGTTGCTTCTTTCCCCCATCATAGGCCTTAAGGTTCTGGTGCAGCTTCGCTAGCTTGGTATGGTTTCATTTCTGATGTAGTAAGAGGGCGGTGCTCAGGTTCTACTGGCTCATCAGGTCGCTTGAAGTCTGAATGCGTGACTACGAATCCAACAAGAAAACCAAACAAAACAATCATTAAGCCGAGGAAGTTACCGATCATCGCTCCTGACGGTAGAGTGTCGTATGGCTCAGCAGCGCTGTGGGATGAAATTAAAGAGAAAAAAATTGTTTAAGATTTTGTCCAAAATTAATTCAGCAATATTTTTAATGTTAATAATAAAAAAGATAATTTTAATAATAAATAAGAACTTGAATTTGGATTTTTATAAATATATCTATCAGGTTCAGGTTCAGGTTTATTATTATTATAAAGACCACCATGTTGCTGGGGAGTCAGGTCACACAAATATGATTCACATAAAGCCTTAGGTTTAAAAAAGATTTCCATATTGTGTTAAGCCAAACTTGGTGGTTTCCAAGAAGTGTGGATGCCAAAAGGAAGATACAACCAGGAAATATACAATAATGTCAGTTAGCTTTACTGAAGTCTACATACATTACCATCAGATTGACTTCATATTTATAGATACCAGTAGTTAAGTTGAGATACTCTGCGGTTTAAAGCTTATAATCTAGTCTACAAGGTGATGTATTCCTTACTCTATGATAAATCCCATTTACTTACTCCATACCAGTAACAAACTTACACTTTAATATGCCTGAATTCAACAATTAATATAATAATAAATCTGAAGAATTAGAATTAATTAATTAGAATTAAAATTAAAATTAATTTTTGCCTATAAATAATTATTTGTATTATACCTAAATTTACTTTTTGGATGTGGAAATTATATATTTAATTTAGTATGCCTGAATAT